GTCACGATACGATGGCGCGATGCAGTGATGGAGCGATCGGATGGATTATGGCTCGACAGAATATCCAAACGAGCCCACCACACCACGCCAATGGACTTCAGTTTCCGCATTCACGGTACAATTTTGGAGCGACACCGCGCCATTTGGACGAATGGAGCGATCGTGAATGGCGGCCTTTATATTCTTATGTTTTAGTCTTTCTTATGCCAGCCATATTTAAACCCCAGCTTCTACACCTGTGTGTTAATACTAGTAGTCGTAACTTCGACAAACATCAGCGCAGTTAATTAAAAGTGTGCTACCTGTTGTGTGTTAGTGGTATAATTTATCCCTGTCTTCAAACTTTCTGGGTATTTCCACTTAAAGGCCATTACATTTGAATTTCCTGAGTATTTCTAAGTTTCACATTTTCTTTTTAGAGTGGTTGATTGTAAAAATAGTCAGATACAAGAAAAGCTAGTTCTTATTAATTTCTGTTTGTTTTTTTCTAGGTCTGAATCATGAACAAAACCTCAAGAAGATGAGGTTGTTAACTTTTATGCAGTTGGCTGAGGGTAATTCAGAAATGACTTTCGACACAGTAGAACAAGAATTGCAGCTTAAAGACTCTGAAGTTGAAGCATTTATAATAGATGGTAAGGAACATTTCCTTTACATATGAATCACAGGCCATGTGCCGGGAGGTACAAGAAGGTTAGCGGTGTCCAAGTGTTTGTGGTCCGGTGGACCAGTTCCACTCGTGCCCTCAACTCGACCTGACGTGCATGAGTTATGGTTCCTAGGTCTCTTGGTGGAAGACTGGATGATTTTTTTCTCACGTTCAGTAGATACAATTATGCAGTAATGATGAGATGGGAAGCAAGACTTCATTAAGCAGGATTTGAGGTGCTCATGGGGCTGAGTGCAAAGATGGCTGTCTTATTTCTGATGAGCCTAGCTATTTGTAGAAACATAACTTGTCTCGTGTATCATTTTCCTCCTTGTACTATTAAATTATTGGTCTGAGCAGAATTGTCTAAAAGTTTTTCACTTTGTACAGCGTGCATGATGGAACAATGAATTGGTCTAGAACATTAAAAGACACACAGAATGTGTATGCATATGTGACTAAATCGTAGTCAGACTGCATCTGATGTGCCACTCAGAAATGTTGACTGAGTTGCGTTTGCTTGTATTTTGAATTAGTAAGTGAGTAAAGCAATGGAAAATGGTCATGTTTCTAAATTAGGTGAATAGTGTTTTCATCGTAGCCAGAGTAGGGAAATTGTTTTTTTCTTGTTGCCTGTAGTAATTATTACGATAAATGCAGAAATAGAACTTTGAGAAATTAAGTGACATTCTCCAGGAACTATAAATGGAATGTGTTCAGTTCAGTTCAGTCACTGACACCGACACAGTCTTCATAAACATTGGTTTTCTTATTTGTGTTTGTACATTTTGTCTGTGTGCAGTTCTGAAGACAAAACTAGTGAGGGCTCGCATGGACCAAGCCGCTCGCAAAGTGTTCGTATCCAGTACGATGCATCGTACATTTGGAAGAGCCCAGTGGCAGCAACTGCGTGACCTCCTCCATTCGTGGAAAGCAAATCTCCAGATAACTCAAGAAGGCATGAAGACTGTTGCAGCAGCGCAACTGGATCTTCTCGCGCAGTAGTGAGAGTCTGACGAGTTAGGCGAAGTGAGATGTGTGGAAGCCGACGTCACTGTCATGTCTGGCTGTTCGAATTACGTGTACAGTTTGTTGTACCTTTGCCATTTTAAAATACCATAATGGAATATTTTGTGCATTATTTGCAATTATTCCATTAGTTCTGACTTGATAACAGTTAAAATGTAAGAAGAGGCTAACAAATTTTGGTACTCTGGTGGACTTGAGGGAGGGCTATTTTCTTGTTTTTCGTATGGAACGGAATCGGAATGCAAATTTTTCTGTTCACAGAGTGAAGACTTCAGGAATGTCAAAAATATATGAGGCCCTTACTGTGCTTCAGATGGCCTTTGCTCGCCATCATTATCATTTCTGTATCTCCCTCCCCTACACTTGATGCATGCAAATCTTCGTGGCTACACGTCTCGTAGCCTGAGAAGAATTCATTAATCTACCACCGTTACTTTAGAATATCTCCCAGGATTATTGTTTATTTGTTTCATAAGCAGATTATTCTCAAGAAAATGGAGTGTCACAAGCATCATTTTCAGTCATGACTGTTTCGGTTGACATCAGTGAGATGATGATGTGCAGTCGGTCCGTGTCTCGGTACTTCTTAAAACGGATTTAGTTTTCCTGTCTGACACGTTGCATTTAATGAACTAGAGTGTGTTATGACAGCACCAACTTTTTACAGTTCTCATTGCACTGGCTTTAGTCTGTCCACTGGGCCAAGGAGAATTGACTTTCCTTCTCTGCTTCTGAGACCCACTGTGTACATTTCACATCTGTGGGGGTTGATATCCACGCTCCACCCTCTCTCTAAATGGTAGCGCTCTGCCATTTGTTCCAGCTGACAAGTTTCCTAGCCTTTGTCTCATCTATTACTGAACATATTAAAGGCCGATCTTATAAGGTATTGTGACAGAGATTCGATGGTGATGCTGCGACTTTCTCGTTCTTTAATCCATTCTAAGCTACGCTGTGGCATCTTTGTGCATGTCTCTGCCACAGATTTAAAATTGTCTATAATAGAAGCTGTCGACATCATTGAAATTGGCCCTACCACTGGCGACTTCTGTACCAGCCATCTTGATATTTATTTTTCGGTTATTTAATGATTCTTTCAGTATCTCAGGAAAAAAAAGTGTCAAGCTATCTTGAGAGTTTGTACAGTGAATGTGAAGAATGCTTTCCTTCATTATAAATATCTGCAGTTATACATCTAAGCTAGCACATAACATGACCCATTAAATGGTGCTGTATTTCCACCCACACACTGCAAGAGGTATGCCGTGGTCATCACATCGCCAAATTATTAAATCCCTATCTTCAACAAATTTCAGCACGATTACAGATAAAAGCGGTGGAAATTAGGCGTCTGTAAACAAGACTGTAATTTGTAAACCAATAGAATATTTATCAAGGAGATAATTATATTATTGTGTGGAATAAATCCACCTTTAAATTTAAAGAACCTACCATGCAAAATTGTTTGTTATCAGGAGCCCCATAGTCTGGGGTATGGGTTCAAACCCCGCTCAAGACGTGGATGTTTGTGTCTGTGTTATGTTATCCTGTGTACAGGTAGAAGCCTTGTGACAGGCTGATCACTTTTCGAACGAGTCCTACAAAATGTTTAAATAGCTTAAGGAGCTTCTCGTATGTGAGGTCGCCAAGGTCCTTGAAGGACTGTTGAGTCACACGGTACATAAGCAGGCAGACTATATGTAAAGTTGGTGGAACAATTTTTGTTCTTGGTGGTAGCTTGTATTTTTGAAAGAATTGAAGTGCCCTAAGTTGCCCACTCCAGTTGATTTATTAAGCACAAGTGGAACTTACTTTTCCTTTTGAATCTTTAATGAAAGAAATATGTGCAGTGCTTGAATCTCGACACTGCGCCTCACCACGTCAGCTTCATATTCAGATGTGAACTCCTTTCACGGTGCTTTGTGATTCAGGACGTCAGTTTGTTACTGTCGTGGCAGAAAACATGGAAACTTTGAATAGGGTTGATTCAACAAAACTTTATTGAAGCCTCCCATACAACAGCGTATTTAAATCTTTTTGTGAGCACACATATCATACTAAAACAATAAAAAAAGATTCAGCCTCTTAAGTATATATATATATATATTTTTTTTTATTTTTCCACAATGTCAGGTTAATTACTTCTTCAGCCATTTTCACCAAATTCAATACCTACATAAAGTGACTCTTAATACTTATAAAAAATCAACAAATTTCTTGCATGTAACAGTCTACAACAAATTGTACGTAGTATAAAGAAATACCATACTCTGTATTTCAAATATGAGTGATGAGTGTAAACACACAGGCTGTATTGTAGTTTATGACGCATAATACATTTCAATCTCCTAATTCCAAACATGATAACCATTCCATTCTCACTTCTCTTCATATCTTCGTGTTCCAGAGTACAAGAGAGCATAAACCTTTCTAAAAACATAACAGAACATACAAAGAACATGCCACAGAATGGGTTACTAGTCACATGATGGGGCAGTAAACCCTGGAACAAAGACTATGAAACCATTTTAGGAACCTGTTTTGTATTATGAAGAAATATTTGAGAGGCATTTTCATACAATCTTCTGTTCTGTGACAAATGAGCAATCTGTTTTCTTCCAAATACTGCAAGCTACTTGTATTTCAGTGTTCTGCATTTTCTGAACTGTCACCATGTTACTCTACTTCCTCTCGCCGCAAACGACGTCCCAGATCAGATCTGGGTGCTGAAACGAGGGCGTGGGAGATCGCCGAAGACGTTTGCATCTCCATGAACACTTTTAGCAAGAGCCTTAATGGATGCTGCAATGTCCATCGGGTCTTGGGGAAGCTGTATAAAAGAAAGAGCACGCAACTAGTAAGTGAATCCCCATCCATTGCTTCGTATGAACCTACCTCCTGGCGCGCTCCTCTTTATAAGACACCGAGATAAATGACACGAACATCGTAGCCTGGACTAGAGGGGCACATAGGATGAGTTACAGGTGTTTTTATGGACTGCCAGCCACAAACAACTTTAAGGCCGCCATTCACGATCGCTCCAGATGGATGACGTCCAAACGGATGTCGTCCAAAGAGGTACTACATTCACGGTCGCGTCACGCCAGTCGCGGTTTGTTGTCCCTCTGTGAAGTGCGTGGTGTTTGCGATGGACGAAGAATTGGTACTAGCTACGGCAGTATGCCTGTATATTAAAAGGAAAAAAACGGGTGTAGAGATACAGATCAGCTGGCAAATAAGGATCTCAGCATCCAAAACGTATCTGATAATCTCGGTAGGAGTGACCAAGTGAGTCATCAGGGACTGTACAAACAGAATACATTAGGAATTCTGGATATCCACACATTGAAAAGAATATGCCGAGGATTTTCTTACAAGAAAATACTGCCAAAAGAATCAAATTAATGTTAAAATTAGGCAGGAAACAGCCGAGACAAGCAGCAGAATTACTGAGAGGACAATGTCGTTTTCGGGGCATTATTCACAGACTCGCGAACGTTCCAATTTACGACACATGACACAACACAGAAGAGACAGCCTCACGCGTTCTACACGACAGCGATGTCTTCGCTGAATTAAGATTTCGCCTCTTGGGATCGCATTTAATGCAACCAAATGACTACCAGAACCACGCCACTCGAGTTGCAAAAGGCTAACACAGAAGCCGGCGATGTACTGCAGATCGCAGACGGTAACAGAGTCGTTCATCGCCCAAATTTGCCCTAGATATTCTCATGAAGATTTTCCTGAGACGAAACTCGTCAAATTTCACGGCAGAGCCAACCAGACAGATAACTGCTAATAATACAGCTACAGTAAGCGCGCGTGAAGTTCCCTACCGAGTAATTTCCTCAGTTTCTTGAAGATGATTTCATCGCGTTCGCCTGACAGCGATGCAACCAAGCAGATCACAGAACCACCACCGCGAGGCGCTGGGATGGAACAGACCGTGTCCATGGGAATGTAGGCTTATCTTCACACGAAAGCACTACATGAGCATCACAACGTGGGAAATCAGTTCATGCAAAACAGAAGTCAGTTAGCTGTTTGTTGGTTCGTCACTTAAGTAGCATCAGCTTACCTAACTGGTAGACAGGTATCTATTATTTATTTATTTAGTGTTGTGTGTGACGACAGGTCAGGTCCATATGAACAGGATCCTTCTTCCATCCTTTTCTCGGACTGGGACTTGTTCATATACGTTCTTGGCAGATGATCCGGAAGTGGTTTGCCATTGCCTTCTTCTGTGTGTGAATGGAGTAATTGTTGGGATGCCACGGAGGAAAACTCCGTGTTGCCTAGACCACGGCCTTGCCCAACACAAGTTATAAATTCGGGCACCGCCGGGAATCGAACCCGAGACCCCAGGATTACAAGACCAGCGTTCTAACCGCTAGACCACCGTGGCTCTCCTTGGTCTTTATTAGGAATAATAAAGAAGGGATGATATAACTCGTACGTGTATCTGTACCATACATTTAGTTCCCTTTATTTATACGTCAGAAGAAACTAATCTTCCCTGTGCAGGCTACAGAAAGAAGTTAACCAATTTCCTGACAGTTATAAAGGATCCTCACATTCACCCGTGGATCCCAAGCCGAGTAAGCATTTTAGAACTAATATAAGGCACTCACCCTTTCATCTTCTCTTTCATCACAATCTTGTTTATTTGAAGGAAGAAAAGCAGGTACATTTACAGGCAATGATTTTGCCAGGTTGCTGAGCGGTCCTCGTCCTTTTGGGATGTGAATTCCCTCATCGTGACTACCGGAATCTGGGACAGAATGAACAAGAAAGCCACTAACTTCCAAGTTATGTTATTTGAGATTACACTCTGAAGATTGCTGTCTTCTGGGCGATGACGGAGGCAGTACGACCTCTGAAATCTACCAGACTACACGGCGCAATAACCCAGAAGACAGCAATCTTCAGACTTACCGCTGTGAAAAACTCAAATTCTACACAGATTACACTCTGTAAAGTGGGTAGTAGACTCATACAAGTCCCACCAGCTCTGCTTGACAACTAGCAGCGTGCAAGTGACTAGAAAAGTGGATTAAGAATTGGTAACAACAAAGATAATGATAATTCCTCCAGCAATGACTGTTGGCACTTCCTCTTGTTAACGGTAAAGGAAGGAGAACAAAAGATGACATTCTAACGTTAACGAACCTCTATCCGGCTTAATTAGCTGCAAGCCAAGTGTTCCTCAGTCATTAAATATTGAATCTGTTATCAACACATCACCAGAGAAAACGGAATAAATCTGAATCCAGTTGGTCAAATCCAAGACCTCAAAGTGTACAAAGAACGGCACAAACAGGTACCCACCGTCTGTGTCAGTCTCCTCCTCCGAGTGAAATGACTCTGTGGGGATTTCTTCCATTCCTTCTAGATCAAACAAACCCTCTGTATCAAGAGAGTTGGGATTACTAGTGCGTGAAGATGAAACCTGTCCAAAGAGTCGCATTGCCAGCCTTCTTTCAGCCTTCGTATGATTTCCTGCAACCATACTCTAAAAACACAATACGAAAATCAAGTGACGATCAGAGGTCCAACTTCTCTACCTGTTCCCTGTCTAGCACTTTCAACAACTGCTACCAAAATCACCACCCAGTAGGCTATATTTTCCTTATGCGACCTTATATTCGCCATCTGGTGTTGTGCTCACCGCGAGGCCAATGATTATGGCTTTGTCGGGATCAATTTTCAATTAACGAGTCTTCATACATGGATATGGCCTTGCGCCACACCTGAATACTTGTATACAATATACGAGGCTCGTCCTTAAAGTAAGTTTCCCTGGGGCCGTTTACAGAAACAAAACACAATTTCATGGAAATATTTATTGCAACAGATACAGCAAGTGTCCAGCTATTTTTCAACATATTCGCCACCGGAATTGAGACATTGGTCATACCGTGGGACCAACTTTTGAATACCTGTGTCGTAGAAGTCGCCCGCCTGGGATTGGAACCACTGTGTGACAACCATCTCCGCCTCTCTGTCATTCTCAAAACGCTGACGCTGACCGGACAGGAATTTCTTGAGGTGTAGGAAAAGATGGAAATCACTGGGAGCGAGATCCGGGCTGTAGGGTGAATGATTAAACACCTCCCAGCTAAACTCCTGCAGGAGACTTGCTGTCCGTCGAACCGTGTGCGGCCTAGCGTTATCACTGACCGCACTTCACAGGCGGCGGGAGCTGGAATAAGAACCTCCATCTTCAACAGCCGCAACGATGCTACTTAAAGTGCTATGCGTTACTTTGTGCAGAATGAGAGGACTTTCTCCGAAAGACATCAAGTGCCCTGTTCTTAATACTTACAGGGGAAAGAGGACTTGATTGGTTCGCTTCTTCTGAATCAATCAGTGATGAAGGTTGATTCTCTGTCAGAGTCTGGTCCTGTCTTAGGTTTGCAGCATTTATCAAAGTGCTCAAGTCGGTTGTAGGTAACACATTGTGTTGGAGATGAGAAAGTGGTGTAGACTGTGATGGCGTGACTGGAGATGCCGGATCGGTCCTCTTGTCTGGCAGGGACAGTGGAGCGTCCAGAGGCTCAAGTGATGACAGAGGACCCACTGGTGATGGGCTCTCTTGCCTTTCACAGAGTAACCTAGTGGATAACAACATTGTTTAACAGGTCACGGCGTAAACAGCGTGAACATCGAAAACACTGTGCAGGTTTGCCACCACACCTTTAATATACTTTAGCACCAACAGGGGCTTAAATTACTGAGAGAAAAAACTAGACTAGAATTGTGGTGGGGAAAACATTTTGAAAGCAGACACTAAAACTAAGGAAACAAACTGTGAAGGTGTAATTGGTTGAGAGTTTCTGCCAGTTGTAGGTTTTGGTATGGGTGCAAAACATGGTCTCTCACTGTGAGGGAGGATCACAGATTGCAGGTGTTTGAGAATATTTGGGCCTAGGAGAGAAGACGATGGGGTATGGAGAAAACTGCACAATGACGAGCTTAAAAATCTGTACTCCTCCCCCAATATTGTCAGGGTTATTAAGTCGAGAAGAACGAGATGGGTGGGGCATCTGGCGCACATGTATGGGACAAGAGGTGTGCACCGGGTATTGGTGGGGAAGCCTGAGGGGAAGAGACCTCTGGGGAGACCTAGACGTAGATGGGAGGATAATGTCAGGCGGGATCTATGGGAGATAGGAGTTGAAGGAGACTGGATTTTGTTGGCCCAGGACAGGGTCTGGTGGAGGGCTTTAGTTAGTTCGGTGATGAACCTTTGGGTTCTGTAAGCCATCTAGTTAGGTGATGAATCTCGGTGTTCTAATACCAGAGGGTAGTAAAAATGCATGCAACTACACACTTCCCAGTTTCTTTAGATGTACAGCCTCAAAATGGATGGTGGTCCAAAATGTACCTACCAACTTCAAACTCAATTATCTCCATGAGTGATGAACTGAAGAAACTTTGTTGACACTGTCGTACTCAAGCCATTTGATTTTGTACAGTACTGAGCAACGGACATTCATCAATTAAGAGCACATCTGATCATCTGAAAGCCCCCAGAATGGTGTTTCGTTTCAGGTAAAGTTTTGTGTCAGTGTAGGACCAGGCAGGCACACAATTTCAAACCTTGTGAAATTTTGGATGTTTATTCTCAAAATGGAAGGCCTTCAACAGCAAGGAGCCAAAGCACTGTTCAGAAACTGTGAGGAAAAACATGCTGAACACATCATAATATAAACGGTTGGAGACGCTGATCCCAACGAGATTTTTGCGTGTCATAATTTGGGCAAAATAAAGAATTAAACTTTGTATGTACATTTTGGACCATCCTATATAAATACTCAACTCACAATTACTTTTAGTAACTGTTCACCTGCTATTCATTGGACATGACCACACTAATAATGTAAGTTTATTTTCTATAGTGACCATAATATTTCGTTCTACCCTCTCGTATGATTACCGCTAATGAATGGAAATATTCAGAAGTAGACATCAGACAAAGCGGCACATTTGACAGCTGCTGTACTGGTTAGTGGTGCAGCAAGTCATGTGTAAATTATATAATTATATAATAATATTATAAAATAAAATCAGCTGTGTGACTCCCACCAAAATCATAAACACACAGCCAATTTCACGAATTGCTCACATCTGTTCTCGAGAACATTCCGTCTGTTTGTGCTAACAGTGGCGATGTTCATTTGTGGACAACGTGGATTTCTAGTAGAGAATTATATTAGAAGGAAAAAAAATAATGATAAACGTACATTAATTATAAACGTACAGTCGCTCCCTTATGATTGTGTCCTCAGACTGTAGATGGTCTCCAGATACGGAGGGTTCCTTCAAATAAACTGAATAAGCAGTCACTGAGTGGAGTATGGACTTTCATCTTTATCGACCAAACTGTATGTTTCACGTTCTGTTGCTGATAGCAAGAGGCTGATGCTATGAACTGGCACGCAATCCAAGCAAGACTTGAACCAACTTAAAGAAACTACTGGCAACAGTCTGAAGCATCTGTTCACAGGACAATGAATATCCTTAAAAATGTTGTCCCTACAAGATAAAGATGATTCATCATTATCACTTCAATCTGCAGATAGTTTCAGGATCATTCTAAACGATGACGACAGTGTACTGTAACAGTTTCATGTGTTAATTTATGAAACTGACTTTTTGAGAACATGCTACTGGGACAATGATATGCCAAATTATTTACCACCTTCCACTACACAATCAGAAATTAGTGTATGGTATGATGTGAGGATTAAAAGTATCGAAGAACCCATATTTTTTATGGCAGAATATTTTGGAACGTTCTTCTGATGAATTAACAAAGAAATGAAAGAGTTACACATATTGTCAGCAGGATGCTGAACCAGTACACACCACAGAAAATTTAATGTGTTCATCAAAAAAGTTACGTAGAACAATAACGAGAGAACTACGGCAGCCAGATCTGAGTGAGATCTGTACGTCTGCGAAACCTTGAAGCAGATAATATACAGAAACAAGCCACAAACTTCACATGATTTACAGGTCAAATGGTATGATCCCTGAAGGTGAACTTCAATACGTTACTGAATTTGTTACAAAAGTATGAAATGTGCTTTTATGTCGGAGGACGCCACTTTCAGCAGCTACTGTATATCAGGTATGTAAAAGTGACTTAGCTCAAAACATCTTTTTTCCATACGTTATGTAGTAATGTACATTATTCTTACTCATAACTTCTAACCAAAGATTAGAGACTACAGAAGTAATGTTGAATGTTTCTGTTGCTTATCAGAGGTGGACACAGAGTGATGACAGTAAGTGTCCAACCTGGGATACAGCAGCACACCCAAATATAGTCCTGGCATTATCACGTGAACAATAAACAGCATATGGTCTCTTCCAGAAAGGTCCAAAGGGCAGAGGTTACTTTCAAGCATACAGGCAGAATGTCTCATCATTGATCATATGGATACCAAATAATATAAGATACCTTGCACTTCAAATATTGATGATGATCTGGATTGTGAATCCATATGGACTCGTGTGTAGATACCAATGTTTTGGCCAAACGTATTGTCTCCATTTTCAGGGTTGAAGTGGGAGGTGAATAGTTTATATAGGGTTAGAAGGGCCCCGTCTCACTTCTGACCTAACACCCCCCCCCCTTTCCATCTCACTGTACGGAGACTTCCCATTGGTTCAACCATCTTCCCATTCCTTGATTCCGACTGACGAACTCTCATCTACACTGGCCCTTCTAGCTTTATATAAATTATTCACATCAAAATACCTCCCTCCCACCAACTTCAGAACTGAAGATACAGAAATTATGTTTCTCCAAAGCATTGGTATCCATCTACAAGTCCACATGACATCACAACCTCAGATCTGAATTCAAACGTGTCTCAGCAGAAATGAAATCTTCTTGGGCAATCATATGCTTCAATTGTCAGATCTTCTCTACCTCAAATCATCTAGGAATGAGGGTCTCCGAAACGTCACGACTTCTGCTCCAAACTGATGTGATAACCGGAGATATTATTGCTTTTATTCACCATAAAATCTTCAAGAGTTTTTTTTTTGTTTGAAGAAGTTTTTAATAACTACCATTTCAATGCTGATATGATATTTTATGGTTCAGGGCAGAAGTGTTCCCTGAACAAGAATGGTTAGTTGAAGTCCAGTCCCATCCAGGGCGGAGACCTTCATTTGCCATTTCCCTCATCCATGATTAAGTCAGAACTTAATGAACGTGCGGAATAACACGTATCTATTACGGTACAGTGCCAGTCTTTAACTGTACGTCCTGTCTGATGCTCAAATGTTTCCATAATCATCTTGACCTATGGATATTTGAATTTCAGCGGATTCCTTAAATCTCGTCAAGAGGTCAGACCGTAAGTGCAGACATTATATAAATATTTAAAGTGTAAATTATGTTTCATTCAGAAGATATTAAGAGAATCTTGTATTATGAATGTTACTCTACGGTGCACAACTGAAACATGGACACCGAGTTTATGTGAGGAAGTACGTAATGCGTTACGCCTGCTTCTCTACCATTCTTTCTGAACGCTTCTGACGTTCAATGCGTATTTAACCCTTTAGTAGAATCTACTGAATGCAGAATTAAAAGAAAAATATTTTTTCCAAATTACTAATTTTGTGATACTGTTACTAATTACTGTCAAAACAAAATGTTTTTACGGATGCCCGAGAGGTCGTGTCAATCTGACAATCCACATATTTCGCATCAGAGATTACTCGACAGGTTCTGATGAAATTTGGTACAGATGGTTGTCTGGCAAATGTTTTACTCCTTACTATACCAAATATATGTTACCTCCATTTCACATGAAGCTCAAAATAAAATGTTTATAATTTTTCACCAATGTTGCTCATTCTATGAAAAATTAGTAAGCAACATAAAACACAATCACAAAGAATTATAATTCAAAATCTATTTCAAACATTTACAATATCATACAACCTATATTTAATGATATACAGAAACAAATGAATTATTTACGACTCCATGCAGTGAAATGCAGAACGTATAAAAAAATCAGGTACTTAAAATCTTGAAAACCCAAAACCAGAAGTGATTTAAGCATCATAATTCCAAATGTTCATAATTTCTCTTCAGGAGCAACGTGTTGCCTCTCCGTGGAGATGAATTAAATCAGAATTGATGTTCCAACACTTAATGGTGGAAGTCGTACGATCATCCAAAATGTTGATCCCCACCCACAAGCCCACACGAAACACAGGGTACGTTGGACGGGAAGGGCAGTACCTCAAGGCAGATGCCGAGGGCACTGGTCAACGAGACCACTCTGTTGCCTTGGTACAACAGCAACATAAGACACATGAGAAACGTCAACGGGCCAAAGAGGTAAGGCGCGACCCAGCGCCAAGTGATCGAGCATTTCACAACGTGATTTTTTTCGATACTTCGTTCAAGATTCAGTTTTGGCACATGTCAGAAAAAAAAAAAGATTTAGCCCATGCCTGCACTTGCAGTGTTTTAGACCCCCCTTCTGGTCATGGAAGCCTTTCATAACAACTCCAAATGTGGTGAACTGCACAGTTTTTTATTTTTTTTTATTTATTTAGTGTTCTGTCTGACGACAGGTCCATATGAACAGGATCCTTCCATCCTTTTCTCGGACTGGGACCTGTTCATATACGTTCTTGGCAGATGATCCAGAAGTGGTTTGCCATTGCCTTCTTCTGTGTGTGAATGGAGTAATTGTTGGGATGCCACGGAGGAAAACTCCGTGTTGCCTAGACCACGGCCTTGCCCAACACAAGTTATAAATTCGGGCACCGCCGGTACACAAAAATTAATTCTTCTCAGGCTACCAACTGTGTAAGGTGGTTTAATGGACAAAACACCACGGCCGGTAGCCCAAGAAGAATTCATCATTCCTAGTCGCTGTGAAAGCTTCAGATCATGAACAGTACATGTACTAGGTCCCTTAATAATTCTGAAAGTATAAGTCTAGCACAAGAGTTATTATTCCCATGTGTGTGTGTCATGTTTTATTCGCCCCGGCCGGCTTTACCCCCGGGAAAGGACCCCGGTACCCATTGGATAGGAGGCTGGGTGGGCCCCAGAGCCGGTCTGGACGCAGAGGCTAGAGGAAAAATCCTCTGCCCCCGTCGGGGATCGAACCCCGGCCGTCCAGCCCGTAGCTAGTCACTATACGGACTGAGTTATCCCGGCTCATAATATAACATAAATGTATCATTAATTAATTCAAATCTGCAATTGGTGCCTGACGTATACACAAGACGAATATAACCAGGAGCCCCCGTGAGTGTAATTGCCGTGTAAACTCAAAAGCGTGTTTACCGATTCCTGATAATTCTTATCATTTGGTGCACAATGAACTAATGTATGCAGGTGTGTTGTTATGAATCAGGTCTCTCGTCACGGTGAAGATGAGAGAACCTAGTGGACAGTCCACTAACCCTGATGGTAAAATGACTGCTTGCAGAGAAAGCCCACACATCACCCTGCGCTCAAAACCAAATTTACAGTTTCACAAGGAAATACACTCGAGATCTACCTGTATGGAGCGAACATTTCAGAGAAACATAACACAGATGTGGGGATTTCCATGACTTTTTCTTTTCTGAAAGCCTGGACAGATTGTACGACAAACATATGTACCAGATCTATAACTGAAGTGATGTATTAACAGTGATCCATTATTTCTAGGAAGAAAAAACATTTTTTATATCTATATGTGAAATTTAAGGGGTGGGATTCTTACAGCAGAGCAGAACATTTTGCAATAATACCTAGCCAGCACGCGATGGTCCTTGTGTGCACGTTCCCTGAACTCCTCTAGTGCAGCGTACTGCTGTTCAGAATACGTGCGGACCTGTTCCTCAGTCCGTGCCGTTTCCTGTTGAATTGCTTCTATGAGCTGTTGCTGGAGTGCTGATAAAGCTGTCTGAACTGGGCCTGGCAATTGAGACACTATGAAACAACACAAAACTCTAATAAGACTTTCATCCTTTGGAGCACATTAAACATGTAACTAATCAAAAAAAATAAAATTACCTGAAAATTTTGTAGGTGCATGGGTGGATGAATGATCATTCTCTGACTGGCTTACAAGCATTCGGAACACAACTGAATACCTGTCGCTATTTTTAAGGGCGGCAACATCTGCTGGGTTTGTCTGCAATAAACAAATGTCATTTGTGAAATATGGAGTACCTTTGTTCTTAATACAAATTTAAGACATTTTAATTATGATACAAATATTACGTTTCCATAAAATTTACGAACCAGCAAAGACTGACTGACCAAGACGCACGCAGCGCCCTTTTCTCGGTGAATAGCGTGCGTATTTGTTGAACAATTCAGACAATGATGAATGATCCAGTTTTCAACACTTCGAACTTGAACAAGACTTGCCTGCTCTTTAGATATTCTTCCCAGATCCACGGTGAAAATATCCTAAGAAAGAATTGTGATGTCATTTACGATGAACCAAAATATTTTTGACCTGTATCTGCCGTCTAGCCTCTACGTGATAAGCATTCTTACCTCCCGAAAAAAACTGTCGCCCAATTCTTCCGATGACAAACCAAGATTAGAAATGTCAACATTTTGAATGTTACAATTCTTGGTATTAATTGAGACATTTAAACATTTGCATGTAATAAGCATTGCTATGATAACAGTTAAAGGGTACACCAGTCCAATAATGGAGACAAAGGGTCTCGACGTCACGTAGGCCCTACAATGGTAATTAAATTACTTTTTATAGTCTAGCTTATCAGTTGTTTGTTCACAATGTCATCACCAATGTGTATTGGCGAAATAATCCTCAAACATTTAAGTTCATTAACAATTAAAAGTCAATTCAAATTAATAAAACAGCAAAACCAGGTATTTATTTATCACAGCCGTTCATCCCAAAACTACCTTACTTACAGCTGATTTATTACGAGCGACAAAACTCAACATGTACTACATTAAGTACACAAGATCTACATTAATTTACATATACATTGATAAATTATAAAATAATACGTGTCAGTAATATGTGGTTATGTAAATTACGGGAAGACATGTATTACTGAAAGTACCATTTTATGCCCGGCTTCTACTGACGTAATAAAATTTTAATTTGACCAACGATTCACGAAAATACAAAACAATACGCAATTCGTTACAAAACCTCTTCAAAGATGACACTAGCATTCACTATTTACTGCTCTTACCAATCTAGTAGAGTCTTCTTGTACTCGAAGTACATCCGGCATTGATTGATAATTTCTACCGTCCTGTCCTGTTCACCATAAATAGCAACTGTAAGGAAAGAAGGAGACTGGAAACGAGAGATTAATGAATTCAACGTTTGACATAGATTACACAGTTTTAAAGGAAAAAAGATTGTTTAGTATTTTGGAAAGTGTTCTACAGCCGAATTCATAAGTGCTTCACAAACTCCTATCATTCAACAACAATGACAATCAAATCACTTTATTTTACCTATTTAATATAGTGTAGAATGATTTTTGGGATCACTTCACCTGATATCAAAACGATATTCACTGTACAAACGAAAATTCTTAGATTAATAGCTGGTCCCAAACCGAGAAATCCATGTAAAAGTCCATTCTAGTGATCTAAGCTCTTCCATGTGAATACATGTTCTCATTGATGATCTTCATTGTAAATAACCAAGAACATTTTCATACTTATTATTTTATGCACGGTGTCAAGACAAAGAATAAGAACCAGCTTTACACACGAGTTGGTAACTTCTTGTGTTTTCAGAAGAGTGAGTATTATGCAGGCGTCAAAATTTTCAACAATTTACCAGTCTCACAAGTCTTCTGAATATAAAAGCACAATTTGAAGTAGCATTAAAAGACTTAATTACACACTTCTTTTACTGTGTTGATAAATTTCTAATGTTTACAAACAAGTTATAATGTTCATTATGGTTTTTTCTCTTCGTGTAATATGGATGTATTTACTATATGTAATGAGGGTGTTTGTATCACATCATTACTTTATGTCAACTGTTTGTTCATAATAATTTTCAAATTATTTACAGTACTAGAGCAACGCTCTCCTTTCGGAGCGCTTTCTCTAAAATAAAAAATCGATCATAAAGTCAATATGGATGAAATACATTCTGTTGTAAAAATAATAGCTATTTATAGGTGGAATCAAAATACATCAACGTTTTCCACCTAGTTGGTTCTGCCATCTTTCAACGCTTTAACTAACTGGATGTATTTCATCATCTACATCAGCAGATTAGTGTATACTCTATGGCAATGTTATTTTCCAGTTAAAAGTGTTATCGATAAATTATCGAATTCCTCGACTCTGCTCAGTGGAGGGGTGTTAGGACGGTTCTGTTATACGTGAAGCTTGGTTTTGGTATTGGTTCGCAAACACAATTCGAGCAATATGTAAAATTTTAAAAAATCTATGAAAAGAGGCTGGCAAGTGTCATACCTTTCAGGACCATATTTAAAATGTCTGGTGGAAGTCGTCTGGATCATGTTTATCGTAGCATTTTGATGACCAAATTTTTTACAAAAGGATGGGGGAAACCGGAAAACTTAAAAAGGTAAGAAGTTTCAGTACTTTTGATGTTTATTCTTCTGTGCACCTTCCGATAACCGTAATCTCAGTTCTGTGGTACCTGTTGACGCGTTTTGTTCATGGAGGACACCGGGCTTGATATAGTCGGTCCTACGTGCGGCATGTTTGATTGTGTATGGCCAGTAAGTTGTTTGCAAGCAGGGTCAAAGACCGTCTTCGGACTCGGTTAAATGGTAGAACTGCTATTTGATTTTTAATGTGATATAATCAAGTCTTGACTAGTTGTCTATTTAAGAATGTACAAATTTCAGCTTATTTAACTTTTTAATTATATATACATTTTGCAATCAGATCAAATGCCTTTGTATTATTTTAAGTCTATTTTCTTTATTTTGCATAAGAGCTGGTGATCTTTCATGGTATTATTCATGTTGGCCCTCTTGCCTGTATGAAGTTCTGACCAAATAATGAAATTGTGCATTCACCATATTATTACCTTATTTCAAATTCTGTTTCACATTCCATATTTTGTCTAATATTGTTTTATACAGATGTATTTTTATTCTCACATTTGCCCTTCAATAGCCAATCATCATTTTCATGTCAGGTATTCGGCCACTTGGGTTGTTACAGTATCACAGTTTTGGTTTTTTAACTTTTTTCGTTGATGGCACTTTGAACACATTTTCCATATTCTGTGACACCCGTATCACATTGTCCATCCTTGAAGGTTAATTAAACTCTTTGATTGTTAAAAATTAGCAGGAAACTGTTTGTTCTGTGCTGAAGATATGCTAGTGAACTGTCACTTTGATTTTGTACTGACATCATAAAAATACTACTGTCGATTATTACACACCTATGGAGGGTGATATTTCATGACAAATACGCACAGAAAAGAGACATTTCCAATCCATTCTCCGCAGAATTGAATGATTTTTTTGGTAAGATTATAGTTTCAGATTTTACTGCTTTATGGCCACTAGATTTTTGAGAGCAAACATCTGAAGTTGTCAAAAAACTTGTTTTTGGTGCACAAGTTGGCATAACAGCTTTCTTAATTGAGGTGCAGAACTCATTTTAAGCTCATTTTGAACTATTATGTTTTCAAATTGGACCTTTGACCAAGTTAGGACTTTAATGGACTTGCATTTTGTGATTCGGTTTACTGTAAAGCATCACTTCACTTATATTGACGAGGCAGCTTCAAGCAGTGTGAATCATATTTGTGCTATGATGTGTTTTGTGCCCTTGGCGTAGTCTTATGAAGGACCTGTGGAATGTAAATAAATTCCATTCTGTTCTATTAAATCCTTTACACTTATAAATTATGGTTATTGCAAACAGCTTCGTTGTTATAAAAATGATTTTTTTATGGTGACCACTTACAGGACTAAACAATTTTCACAACCCAGAAGATCACAGTCCACAGTATTACACACCTATGGAGGGTGATTTCACGACAAATACGCACAGAAAAGAGACATTTCCAATCCATTCTCCGCAGTCCCCCTGCAGATATCACTACAGTGGATTGAAACATTCCGCGATAATCGTTTTAACGCTTGCCATTCTTATTCTACTTTTTCTAGCTCACTCGTAGATAGCACATGCAGCTGGTACAGGATCGTTTCATAAATCAAGAGAGAGTTATCAAAGCCTATGTTTGTAGTTAGTATGGGAAGGTTTTATCTCGCTGTATTAAGGACTGAACTTCTCTTTCTGAGTGACCCTTTTGCATACACGCTTGGATGCCGCATTTTTAAAGATTATACGTGTAATTCTGAGGACTGCATCCGGCTGAAAGTTTGGTTTGTAACTTTCAGGCTAGGAACTCTTGTAAATTAAAAACATTCAGGAGTTCTAACACATGCAGCATTTGTTTTACTTTCAGGTTATTTCTATTCAAAGAAAAGATGACGAATCGAGATACGTGTTTTAATTTGGTTCCGAATAATTATCCAATTACCATTTCAAAGGTGAGTCTTTTTTAATAGAAATAAAATGGAAGTGGGACTGTTCAGTGGCTAATAAAAATAATTTTTAATCAGGGAGTGCAGTGGGATACACGCTCTATAAGAACTGATTGTTTTGTAAAAATTCTTCCTGTCTGGTAGGTTTGTCTCTCTCCCTCTCTGTTTCTGATGGTGAATGGATCACATTATCTTGCATCAAGGTTACTGGTGAATCATCTTCATCTAGATGTCAGGTCATGCAGAAACAAAGTTTGGAGCTAGCAAGTTTACTTAGAACGTAACATACGAAGTTCAGCAAGGATTCAGACAGTTTTCTCATTACCTTGAATTGTATCAGAATTTATTTTCGTTACGGTGGTCTAGAGGTTAGAACGCTGGCCTTGTAATCCTGGGGTCTCGGGTTCGATTGCCGGCGGTGCCCGAATTTTTAACTTGTGTTGGGCAAGGCCGTGGTCTAGGCAACACGGAGTTTTCCTCTGTGGCATCCCAACAATTACTCCATTCACACACAGAAGAAGGCAATGGTATATATCCTGCTTGCCCAGGGCCTCTGACAAATTTATGTACAAGATAAGAAACTCAAAATTTTCTGCCTTCTGAGGGATTTGAATATTTTGTTCTGGAAGAACACAATGCCTCCATCTTCAGCTATTGTATGTACCCACAAGCTTACATGACATTACAACCCAGAAGACTGTTATCAACAAACAGCATATGACACGCCCATCTATCAAAAGCCGCCGTGTTGTTGATGATAGATTTAATTAAATTTCCTAGCTTATTATCTGGTATCTTATCTAATTTTTATTATTGGGATTGTGAAAGATATACAAACATTATTTAAAGACTGATTATGGTGACGTAACAGACCATGAACTTTAATTGAATGATTAATAAGTTTCTAAAGTTATTATTTTAGTGTATATTGAGCTTTTATTCACTATTTAAATTATTCAAATTAAGTTTGAAAGGAAATGCACTTTAGTTAAATATCATAAGTACATTTAGAATATTTAGGAACACAGTAATATAAGATTAATAGTGAAAGAAGACCTTCATTGTGTATTTAATTACTTTTTGTAACAGTGAACTGGAAAACTTGAGAACCATCGTCAGTATGTGTACAAAGAAAGATGTGTTTTTGTAGGAAGAAGATTATTCAGATTTCAGAATTATAGAGGGCCACTTTCTCTCTCCGTTCGTGACCAATCTGCCAGGTATTGTACCAAAGGAATCAGAAACGGCTTACTTCCAAGTGCTGCTCCCAAAGAAATGGAACTCCAGCCACTACAAGCCGATATGCCTGCACCTAGCTGGGACAGGTGACCACGTAAGTCGCTGAAGTAGCAACATTAGAAAAATGTCCTGTCCTTTATTGCAATCTTCTGTCCTTTTATGAGACCAAACGTACGTGTCCTACCAGGCGAATGAAGATGTTTCCAGTTTCTGGTGCTAGATCGCTGTGGTTGTGTATGATTTCCAGACTTATTCCTGAACTTTCATTCTGTTGAAGATATCCGTCTTCTGTGTTGTTGCGCTGTGTAGTCTGGTCGATGTTAACCAACGTTTCAGAGGTCATACTGCCTCCGTCATCAGGGCCTGATGACGGAGGCAGTATGACCTCTGAGACGTTGGTAAACATCGACCAGACTAC